AGAACTGTACAAAATAGCTTGATATGTGCCATGACAAGTTGCTTTGGATGTGTTAAAATTATTTGTATTATATATGTCATTAATTTTCCTATAAATTTCCAAAGGTATGATCCCAGTAATTTTACATCTGTCTGTAGTTACGAGTGAGAGACCTTGAGGGTGCATTGGAGGTGGAGAAATCTGCCTTAGAAGAAGTTAGACACAATATGGATGCACTGAACAAGCAGAACAGGTATGGATGGTTAAGGACATAGGTTGGCCTAGTGGTTAATCTGCTGGCCTCTCACTGCTGTGGTCTGGGTTTGATTCCCGGGCACAGACCATATGTGAGTTTGAGTTTGTTTGATGTGTTGTTCTCTCCCTTGCCACAAGGGTTTTTCTCTGTGTCCTCCGGTTTTCCTCCCTCATCAAAAATCAATATGTGAGGAGTGCTGTGTGCTAAAATACTTAATGTAGAGGTAGTGAGTGTGAGTTGTTGATGGCCCAGTGGTAGATTAGTCTATGACTAAACTGGTTTACCATCATTAAATAAAGTTTATACATGTATGAAAACTCAGTGATACATTGTAGTTAGTAGAAAGTGTTTAGTTCAGGAAGTTCCCAAAACAGATTTCATTGATGAAAACCCAGCTGCATTTTATCCCCTTAATAAATGTACCATCGTTATTGGCATATACCTCTTGATAAATGGATTGTTTGCTCATACATGTAAGCACATATGCTATTAGTCGACTAATTAATTGTGCAGTCTTTGAAGTGCGGCCAAATCAGGGAATTGGAGGCCATTAAAACTTAATTTCGTCTGATGATTTCACAGGGAGCTGGAAACAGCGTTTGAAGAAGAGAGAGACAAGAACAAAGGTCAAGAGTCAAGAATGGCAGAAATGGAAGAAAGTTTTCAAAAAGAAAGACGAAGTCTGTCAGTTGAAATCGAAGACAAGCAGAAAGTCATTTCTAATATGTCCAAACAGCTTGAAGTACATCAAAAGAACTTCGAAGCGCTCAAATCAGAATTGATTCAAGTAAGTCGTATTTCTCCAGCATTTGGTTACTTCGAAAGGCATTTTTAGCATTTGCAGGCTGGAGATAGGGTGGGAAAAATATGTAAAGGAGAGTACAATACGTCAAGTTACTAGTTGCACAATTATTGTTTTATAAAGATGGTTGAGTGTTGGTCACAACCTGGATTATTTTTATAAGTGATTTTAGTGTTTTTACGCGGGTAAGTTTTGTTAGAAAGGTTCATGACCGAGATAGTTGCATATTTGTTATACACTAGTCAATTGAAACGCACGACCCCCGACCCCCGGAGAATACCGTGGAATTTAACGTTTGAGTGGAAACATTTCCCCCGGTAGTCGGGGGCGCATCAATTGTTAAAATCCCCGCTACTGTGGCCCCGTTATTTTGGTCTAGTAGTAAATAACAAAACAAACACCTTTCAATCAAATTTTCTGTGATACACAGGGTTAGTTTTTGCACAATCCTGTGTACTCATTTGCGTACTACATGACGGGGATTTCAATTGACTACTGCATTAGGGGCTTTACTGCATTTGTCCAAGTAGGACAAAGAACGAGAGTGATTACAGGAAAATCATGTTAGTAAAGATGGTAGGATGTAGGGATTTCAGGTGCAGTCGTGGTTATGCTGTTGCTGTTGTTGTTGTTGTTGCTGCTGATATTTTTGCTGTTGTTGCTGCTGGACACTTACCATGTACAAGACGTTTTTGTCTTGCAATCAACTCTGTTGCAATCTATCTTACACCAAGTATTTTTTATTCAATTCAGGCCAGGAAACGCCAAATAAAACTGGACACGACCTATGGTAGCAGTATGCGTGAACTAGAACTTCTACTTGAAAACTTCAACCTCAATAAACCAGATGATGAAAAGAAAAGTAAGTTTATTTTTTGTTGGTCTGACTTAATTCTTTATTTTCCTGGGATATTATCGATTCGTCATTATAAACCACTTTCTGTAAGGCTTATCCTGGACAGGGTCGAAATGGCAAAATTTATTGAATTGACACAACAGCAACATCAGCAACTACAACAACAGCAGCGATAACAACAACAACAGCAGCAGCAACAACAACATCAACAACAGCAGCAACAACAGCTGCAGCAACAACAACAGCAGCAGCAGCAACAACAGCAGCAACAACAGCAGCAGCAGCAACAACAGCTGCAGCAACAACAGCAACAGCACCACCAAAACAGAGTAGTATATAACAACAGCGGCAACAATATCATCAACAACAACAGAAACAATAACAAGTTGCTATGAAAGATTTGCGTATGTTGTTGCATTGTTTGTTAAAAATAGCCTTGAATTATGTGTGCTTGTGATTGTAGATCAGAAAAAAGACAAATCCAAGCCACCATCACCAGCTCAAGTACTTGAAAACTTACGCCATACAATGCTTGATTACCAGAACCGATGTTCCAATGCATCAGCTGAGGTACTTTCTTAATGCGAGACTTTTTCTACTTTTACTTACAGTACTTAATGTGATTTCATTGTATTTTTAGCTAAAAAGACACCGTGAAGTCGTTGAGAAGCTTTCTTCGGATTGTGACAAGTATAAAACCGTGATTTTAAATAAAGACAAAACTGTAAAGGTACAGATTGACATGCTCCTAGAACTCGGCAAGATCTTTAGGGTTACAAGCTGTGTGATGTATGATTAAGACCGGCGCAAAAGCATTCCACATTTGCTGCAACATGCGTTCAACGTCAAATTTCGAACTCGTTTGCGCGGGGCTTTCAATATTGACAATCCGTCTAAAAGTGTTGAAATTTTGATTCAACAATCGTTCAACATTTCTTTTGTTCTCGAAACTGCTGAACGATGACAAAGCGATTTTCGCGGTCATTTCAACAATGTAGTAGCCTGCGCAGTATTCGCTCTAGTTACCATCAAAGTATGTTGAAAACCCCACACAAATGCGTTCAACATTGCTGTTCAACAAAAGGCGAACAAATGTTTAAGCAGAAGCATGAAATCCTTTGCGAATACACCATTCAACACTGTTTCACAGGGTTCAACTAAAAGAAAGAATGTTGAAACAAATGCTGCAAGCGTTTAAGAGTGAGGTTTGATTATTGTGACAATAGTGTTGTCCTGACAACGCCAGCGGGAACCGACTGTGTCTTGGGTTTTAGTGGAATAGTTAAGTGCTATCTTCTGCGT